AAAAGTTGATAGGTTGTAGTTTCTTAAAGGTGAGTTGCAATATGCAATTTGATACCTTTTCATTGAGCTTTCCGTATTCTAATACATTAAAATCCATTGGTCTGTTTGCACTTTGAATGGATAATTTTTTATCATAATTTTGTAACATCATGCAGTGGTCATTTTGGAATGGCTTCACTGAATTACACAGCTCTTTCAAATGTTGACATATTTCTTTATGAAGTATTTTAACTATCAGATGCAGTATTATCACCTCCTATCTGTCTCCTTTAAAAATCCTGGGATGCTGTCAATCTCATGGTAACAAACACAAGCTTTCCAAATCCCTGATTTTTCCTCCAACACTCAAATTTTATAATTTTATCAGCAAAAAAATGTTGTCCGTATTTTCCTTTATATGACAGGCTCACTCAGTTTACTTTTTTTTTTTTTTAAAGATTTATTTATTTTACTTGAAAGTGAGAGTTACACAGAGAGAGGAGAGGCAGAGAGAAAGATGTCTTTTGTCCGCTGGTTCACTCCCAAGTTGGCCGCAACAGCCAGAGCTGCACCGATCCAAAGCCAGGAGCCAAGAGCTTCTTCCGGGTCTCCCACATGGGTGCAGGGGCCCAAGTGTTTGGGCCATCTTCTATTGCTTTCCCAGGCCATAGAAGTGTAGCAGCCGGGACTCGAACCGGCACCCATATGTGATGCTGGCACTGCAGGCAGCGGCTTTACCTGCTGCGCCATTGCGCTGGCCCCTCAATTTACGTTTGACAACATATTTCTTAGATATCCAAATGTGATTACACGTAGTTTATTTAAAAATGGCATTCTGTGAAAAAAAGCAGCTTGTTTAGCTTGTATCTGTAAATTCACAAGTAGCTTTCCTTGAGACACTGTGGTGCTTTGGCATGCTGAAGGACTTCCTGTTTCATCACATAAAATATTAAAAAGATATATATTCAAATATCAAAAGTTAATTAAATTGATTAGTTTTGCTTCATCAAGGCTGGCTTTTACGGTGAGCCCATGGTGCTGAAGAATATAATGGCTGCTACTACTGGTGAGTAGCAGTGCTTCTGCAGTTATACCCACTCTTGGCTTTGTACTATCAGTGTAAATTTCAACACCGTGAAGAAGGTAGATAATGTGTTAGCATTTTCAAGAAAATGATTTTGACTTTGTGGACCTTTAGAAAGAGTCTTTAAGAAATGGGCAGCTTGAGATGTGCTGCCAGAGAGTTTCTGACTATCTGGATTCTGTGTCTTAAGCTTTATGTTGTGATTTAGCACATTCCTTTTTTAGCAGAATGTCCTGTAAAATAAATACACTGCATCAGATTAAGTTTGATTATATTGTTTCCTGGCCAGACTGCTTCATAGGTGGTATTGCGTTTGCATTTTTACAGCTAGTGATGGTGGTTGCCCGGAGTCATTAATTTTTTATGGTTGCAAATGGTAATATTCTAGTTAGTTGTTAGCTAGAATTCTTTCTAAAGGGAAACTTTGCATCATGAGCAAATTGGTTGCCCTGAGATACAGTTTGAGAGAATAGGGAGATAGAACTTTGTTTCTTTTTCCCAATAATGAGTTGCTTCCTTGTATCCTCCAAAGATGATCAATGTAGTGTTTTTGGTTACTTGGTTCATTTGTTTTAATGTTTTGACATTGTTATGAACTCATGGACTTAAATGTAGTTGATGTGTTTCAAGTCACTTGCAGGTAGTAAGTATACTACTTTGCCTTAATTTGGTCAGCACCAGCCTCCTCAGGTTGGCTCTTGAGTTTTTTAAATATGACCTTGATTGCCTTGGATAACTTCCTTGTTTTCTTTTTGGACAAGACAGCCCAGGCTCACTGTGGTCTTTTCCTGCTGCTGAGCAGAAATCAGTTCCTTTTCTGGAGATACTTGGGAGAAACCCCATTTAGGCACCGCAGTCAGAGCACCAGGCTTCTCTAGTTTTGTTGGTGATTGTTTTTCCTAGACTTTTTCAGTGGACAAAGCTAGAAAATAGGGGCTGGTATTGTGGCGGAAAGGGTTAAGCTGCCACCTACAATGCTGGCATCCTGTATGGGCACTGGTTGGAATCTCTGCTGCTCTGCTTGATCCAGCTCTGTGCTAATGGCCTGGGAAAGCAGCCTGGGAAAGATGGGCCAAGTGCTTGAGTCCCTGCACCCACATGGGAATTGGGGAAGAAGCTCTGGACTCCTAGCTTGGGCCTGCCCCAGCCCCAGCCATTGTGGCCATTTGGGCAAAGAACCAGCAGTTGGAAGATCTCTCTCTTTCTCTCTGTAACTCTGATTTTCAAATAGTTAAAATAAACCTATTTGTAAACAAAAGCTAGAAAATGCATGCTATCTTTTAAAGCAGAAATACATTAATTCATACTTTTTTTTAAAATTTATTTTACTCATTTAAAGGCTGAGTAATGGGGGGTAGGGTGAGAGAGAGAGAGAGAGAGAGAGAGAGAGAGAGATCTTCTATCTGTTGGTTCACTCCCCAAATGGCTGCAATGGCCAGGGCTGGGCCAGGGGGAAGCCAGGAGCTTATTCCAAATATCCCATGTAGGTGCAAGGGCCCCAGGCCTTGGGCCATTTTCCACTGCTTTCTCAGGCTCATTAGCAAAGAGCTGTATTGGAAGTGGAGCTTCCAATTGCCTCTATGGGATGCAGGCATTGCGGGTGGCAGCTTAACCCATTAGGCCACAATGCCAGCCCCCATACTGATACTTTTCTTTTTTTTAAGGTTTATTTATTTGAAAGACAGAGTTAGAGAGAGGCAGAGGCAGAGAGAAAGAAAGAGAGAGAGAGAGAGAGAGGTTCTTCCTTCTACTGGTTCACTCCCCCAGATGACCTCAATGGCCAGAGCTGTGCCAGGAGCCAAGAGCCTCTCCCAGGTCTCCTGTGTAGGTATAGGGGCCCAAGGACTTAGGTCATCCTCTGCCACTTTCCCAGGCCACAGCAGAGAGCTGGATTGAAAGTGGGGCAGCTGGGACTCTAACCGGCCCACAAGGGTTGTCGGCACTGTAGGCAACAGCCCCACCATCTACGTCACAGCACCGACCCCATATTCTGATATTTGTATTCAAAGTTAGGACCTATCAATCTTTTGTCAGTTGTCTGTCATACCAGCATAGTTACTTTTTTTGTTTTTTAATCCCATAGTGCAGATAGCAGTCTCAGGACAACAATGTCAGTATTACCACCAATGATGTGATTTTGTAAGTCTGTCTTGTAGTTTAAAAACTAATGAAAATAATAAGTGTTGTCACAGCTTAGCCAGCCAAATTGACTATTTTAGCAGAATCTCATGATACTCGATATAAATTTTGGGATTGTTTTCTTGTTTGTTGGAACAACACATTGTCATATTTCAGTATTTCAACATCAGTGAATAAAGCTAAATTTTTTTAAAGATTTATTTATTTATCTGAAAGACAGAGTTACAGAGAGAGGCAGAGAGGGAGAGAGGTCTTCCATCCACTGGTTCACTCCCCAGATGGCTGCAATGGCCGGAGTTGTGCTGATCCAAAGGCAGGAGCCAGGAGCTTCTTCTGGGTCTCTCACATGGGTGCAGGGGCCCAAGGACTTGGGCCATCTTCCACTGCTTTCCCAGGCCATAGCAGAGAGATGGATGGGAAGAGGAGCAGCTGGGAATAGAACTGGCACCCGTATGGAATGCCGGCACTTCAGGCCAGGGCTTTAACCCACTGCGCCACAGCACCGGCTCCAAGATCTCTCTCCTTGTCTGTGTAACTCTGCCTTTCAAATACATTAATAAATCTTAAAAAAAATTTTGAAATCTATACATAATTTTTTCATAACTTGCCTTTTTTCATGGACTTTTTGAAGACCCCTTGTAGACATGGATTTCAAAATTTTTTATAACAAAGTAAACTTTCAGATGAAAAGATATTTTAATTCCATTTTCCCAGAACTTTGAAGTTCCCGTGTATAAAGGGCTTGATACTATCTGCAGTGTCAGGCATCCACTGAAGGTCTTGGGACATATCTCCTTTGATAAAAGGGGACTATTGTATTTTTAAAAATCAGCACATAAATATTGTATACACTTAAGAAGTTCCACATGATGTTTTTGATATGTGTAATATGTAATGTTCAAATCAGGGTAAACATAACTATTAACTCAAACATAATTTGATTGTGATGGAAATATTCAAAAATCCTTTTTTATATATTTTTTGAAATATTCAGTATATTCTTGTTATTTATAGTTACCCTACTGTGTAATATAATACTTGTACTTATTTTGCCTATCTAATTGTGACTTGTGGCTACTGTATTTTCTTCTTTATACTTACACTCTTTTTCAGACTCTGTCTCTTTTAAAAGTCTTTCAATATCTTAAACAAAAAAAAATCTACTTTAGGCGAGAAATTCTATCCATGTGCTATCATAACTTCATTTTAAGTGAATATGCTATGAATCAATGAATTCTTTTTCTTTTTTAAAAAGATTTTATTTATTTGAAAGGAAGAATTACAGTGAGAGAGAGATCTTCTATCCATTGATTCACTCCCCAAATGGCTGTAAAGGCTGGAGCTGGGCCAGGCTGAAGCCAGAAGCCAGGAGCTTCATCCAGGTCTCCCACGTGGATGCAGAGGCCCAAGCTGTTGGGCCATCTTCCACTGCTTTCCCAGGCACATAACAGGGAGTTTGATGGGAAGTGTAGTGGCCAGGACTAATATGGGATGCCAGCGCTGCAGACTAAGGCTTAACCTATTATACCACAACACCAGCCCCTCTTTTCCTTTTTAAGAAAATTTAACATAACTTTTTAAACTATTTTTTATCCTATAGTCATAATTTTCCAAGGATTATACCAGGAAAATATGTTAATGATATTTTGAAATGGTTAATTTTACATACATAGATAAGGGATAGTGTGAGCATGAATATTAGGTAATTAAGGGAAACTGAAATAATGATCACTGTTTCAATGAAAACTTGATTTGCATGTGGAATACTTAGTGAAATAACTTTTTTCTCCACTTCCAGATTAAAAAATAAATCATGACTGAATCTGCCTCTAGCACAAGTGGTCAAGAGTTTGATGTATTTAGTGTTATGGACTGGAAAGATGGAGTAGGTACATTACCAGGAAGTGACTTGAAGGTATGTTGTCTTTATTACTTATAATAAGTTGGGTGCATCTGTGGGTGTTTATTTCAAAGTGAATACATATCTGTCTGTGAAATAAGAATTAAAAACATTAAGAGTAGTGCTTTGGGTTTTATGTGATGCTTAATGTTCTACAATACACTCACAAGAGAATGTGAAGTTACTGATGGGTTTGTGGGAGCTTTTGTCACTTGGGTAAAGGGACTAAGGAATAGTTCTTTAGTGTTTTCTTAATTTGCAGAAGTTGATTTCTAGCTTCCAGGAGGATCATCTTAGTTGTGAGTCTGACTTGATGGCTAATAAATGCAGAAATGGCAAACAGAAGATACAGCCTTCCAGATTCTGTAGTCACAGGCTTTGCAAGTTTGCAACACATTTGTCACATCTTAGTGTTCTTATTTAAAAACTGAATAATGTTAAAATATGGAATAAACAGCACTCTGAACCTCCCCAAAGTTCTCTGTGTTGTTTCTTCAGAGAAGGATGCTCAGTCTGCTCCTTTTATATGGGATCACCTCGCCCCCAGTGGCCCAGCACCTCTGCTGCCCATGCACGTGGTTATGCAAGCTCCCTTCTGGGAAGACAGCTACCCCCACTTCTCATTTTTAATTTGCTTTTTCTCTGATCCTATCTCTGGGACCTTGAACCTGTCTATGGCCTTTTAGACTTTGTGTTTGTACTTGGTCTTTCAGGTGTTTGAATTTCCGATCTCCCTAACAGACTGTTGCTTTGCCTTGCCTGTCTAACACTTGCTGTTCTGGGCTGTCTTGTCTAGACATTCCTGTGCTCTGATTTAGGCTTCTTGGAATCTAATCCCTTTTAGTGGCTGCTTGGCAAGTATCTTAACCAAGTGTGCCCTCACTCATGCTGGGCGGTATGATTTGTACAGTTTGCCTGTCACTGGAGAAATACTTCAGATTTTAGTTGCGTTAGGTTTAATTAAGTGCAGTGTGGCAGTGTCCCTGAGTTTAGTGCAATAAACATATTGCTGTGAAGTCTAGAGAAATCTGCAGGAGAAACTGGGTTTTTAGAGCTCTTTGTTGACTGTGAATAAGTCAATCAATGTCTTTCGGTCAAGTTTCTTCTGCAGTTAAAATAAGAAATCAATTGAATACTGAGGATTTTATCTGCTGAACATTTTTGAGTAAGAAATACTGTTTCTCAACCCTGATAATGCCAACCACATATTAGCCACCTGAGCTTTGTCAAATCATTTAAATTCCGTAAGTTTTGGAATGGGGATATTAGAATCTATCACAGGATAATTATGAGGCTTGAAAAATTATATGGAGATATACACATATACATACACATATAATTTAGCAAATGTGAGTCCTTTTCTGGCTTTGTGATATGATAGAGTATGATATGATATGATTTGATATGATATATAAACTTCCTTTGTACTCCTTCACTCCCATATTTTTCTTGAGCATTTTTATCCCTTTGATTCTTAGTGGCTTTGAAGAAAATGTCAGTGAATGATGAAATGTTTAACTTTTGTTTGTTAACTTTGGACAATAGAGTGAAGTTTCCATTCCCAGGAAATATGGATTGCATTAAGATTTTCTGAGCAGTGGATCCTAGAAATTAGCCTATTACTTTTATTAAGGTAATCAAGTAATTAAGCTATTTAGTGGACATTATAATCCGGTTTATTTGATGTGACTTTCAGACTCACCTAAATTATCAGGGTAATGGCTGTGTATCCAGTTCACTTTAAAATAATTTTAAAATTATTTTCTGCTTTGTAACCCGTTTTATCTGAGGAGAGTCAGAGTCTAGCTAGTTGATTGCATTGCCCAGGTTTTCTAATTCACTTGCTCCTTATGTTTAAGTCTGAGTTGCTAAGAGATCTGATTAAGAAATTGATTTTTCACAGAATTAAAATATTAGAACTTTGATTAGGTCATGATATTTACTCTTTCCCATCCATCCCATTGCTATTTTACAATGCCCAGGCTTCTGCTTCTTAATGAGTATATATATATATATATATATATATGACTTTCCTAACTGAATGGTGGCCTAAGACAGCCAGCTGAAGTTAAATCAGCTCATATAGTCAGCTAATACATGGAAGTCAGTTTGTTATCAAGGAGTAAGAGTTTTTGTATGCTTTAATTTTTGCTGTTTTGAGAGAACTTTCCTCTTTGAAAGCTTTATGATGGATGGCAATTAAATTATGTCACTCTTCTGCTTAAAATTCTTCTGCAGTTGTTAGTATCATGATGAAATTCAAACCTTTGAAGTTTATTGCAGGAGTTTTCTGGTGATCTGGACCCTACTTGCCTGTCTGGCTGCATCTCATGTTACTCCTTAGTGCCACTCTGTTTTTTACCTAGCTCAAACCACGAGTTGAACACTTCACCTTTTGTGGTTGGAGTCCCATTTCTCTTCTTCACCTTAGGCTAAGTAGCCCTTAGATAAAGCAGAGAGCAAACATCTTTGGATGAGTCTGTGAGAAGAATAGAGAACTTGCTCTCTGATGAAAACTCCCCCTGCAACTTTCTTGTTCATTCTTTAATCCTTTCAAGGTAGTTTCTATCTCTCATCAGTGTGCAGATAGGGAAACCGGTCCAGAGTGGCTCATTCATTTGCTCATGTCATTTATGGAACAAGTGGGCTTAAAACCTGGCTTCTCTAATTAAATTGGTCTCCTACCAGTGCTGTTTGACTATTTCTAAGTAGAGGAAATATTTTCATATCAATACAGATCTAAGGGAGCTGGTGCTCTGGTGTAGTAGGCTCTGCCTCCGCCTGTGGCGCCAGCATTCCTTCTGGGTGCCAGTTCACGTCCCGGCTTCTCCTTTTCTGATCTAGCTCTCTATTGTGGCCTGGAAAAGCAGAAGATGGCCCAAGTATTTGGGCCCTTGCATCCACGTGGGAGACCTGGAAGAAGCACCTGGCTCCTGGCTTCAGATCAGCCCATCTCTGGCCGTTGTGGCCATTTGGGGAGTGGGCCAGCAGATGGAAGACCTTTCTCTCTGTCTGTTGCTCTCTCTGTAACTCTGCCTCTCAAATAAAATAAATAAATACAATCTTTTAAAAAGATCTAAGAAAAATGTTACAGGATTTAGAGGAAGTGAAAATTAATTTGTACTGGAGGGATCAGGAAGGCTCTAGAAACAGCTGTCCCTTGAGTTTCCGGCGCCTGCAAATAGGTGGGAGTCTCCAGGAATATTCTGGTGGGAGCTGGGGAAAGCCAGGCATGGGAGGAGGGGAGAAGGACTTAGATAACACCATGTAGCTTATGGAGGTGCAAAGGTTGAGGGAGAGTGACCATTGGCATTTTTCAAAATACTGTCATCACTGACAAGATGTTTTTTGCCTACCTAAGCTTTGGAAATTTTTCCGTTGCCCAAGTTGTTCATTTCCAAGGGCCCTGAGTCTGTGCAGCTGGATGTCTAGGGGTCGCCATAGGATAGGCTTGTGACTTCAGTGGCTGTGGTACTTGCCAGAGCTCCTTCTGCCCAGGCAGCCTCTCTACCTGAATGTTTCATGATGTCTGAAATTATCCACAAAGAGTTATTCCTCTGGGTTGCAGGTCTTTCAGAATTCTTTGGTAAAAAGGCAGATCCACTCCTGAGAGGGATAGCATCTTATCTAGCAGCAGTAATTTTCACATAACCAATTGTCTGCAGCAGCCCCGCAGAAGCCCAGCTATGAAACTGACCACACTTCAATGTACACTTTACCTCATTGTGATTAGTGTTCAGAACAGTTGGTCATCAAACATACTTATTTGCCTTTAAAACACATTGATAGGTGGAGTAGATTCCAAGAATGAAAGTAATAAAATGAAGATAATAACCACATTAGTGTCTTTTAATGACCTGTAATTAATGATAGCGGCAAAAATAGACAGAAGATCATTTGCCCCTACAAGCAGAAATTTATTAAGAGAACTAAATCTATTAAAGGTAATTTAAGCCAAGCCAAACAAAAACTATGTGCAACCCCCAATGTATGTCAGGCATAATTGTTTTTTGATTGACCTGGATATATCCATATGCAGAAAAAAGTTGCCATGTCAGCTGGTATGTTTGGCTTGCTTAATAAATCCACCTTGCAAGGTTTATGATTTTGATATTCTTGATTATAGCATGGAGCTACTTCACAAAATATTTATACTGCTTTTAACTTTCTCTAGGTTAAAGGAATTAATAATTTTTAAAAGCTAGAGATGGACATTAAGAGTAGTGGTTGGCATCACTTGGGACAGCTGCGGCCATTATCATATGGTTTGAGTCCCAGCTGTGCTCCTGATTCCAGCTTCCTGCTAATGTACATGCTGGGAGGCAGCAGGTGATGGTTCAAGACCTTGAGTTCCTGACCTCCATATGGGAGATCTGCAGTGATTTCTAGGCTCCTGGCTTCAGCCTGGCCCAGCCCTGGCTGTTGAAGGCATTTGGCGAGTGAACTAGCAGATGAGATCTATTTCTGTCTCAAATATTTTTTTTTATTTTTTATTTTTATTTATTTGACAGAGTTAGACACAGAGAGAGAGACAGAGACAGAGAGAAAGGTCTTCCTTCTGTTGGTTCATCCCCCCCAAATGGCCACTATGGCCAGTGCTGCGCCGATCCAAAGCCAGGAGCCAGGTGCTTCCTCCTGGTCTCCCATGCGGGTGCAGGGGACCAAGCACTTGGGCCATCCTCCACTGCCCTCCCGGGCCACAGTAGAGAGCTGGACTGCAAGAGGAGCAGCCAAGACTAGAACCTGGTGCCTGTATGGGATGCCGGTGCTGCAGGCAGAGGATTAACCATGTGAGCCATGGCACCGGCCCCATCAAATAAATTTTTAAAAATGAAAAAAAAAAAGTAAGGCAGGTGAAGTTTCTGTCATTCCAAAGGCATTCAAAGCATTACCAGTTTCAGAATCTAGGCATTTAATCAGGAGAAAAAAAAAAAAAAAGAAATAATTGTATCAGTCTTCTGGAATTACAAGTTTGGGACTTCACTAATGTTAGCAGCACCTAAGAGGCCACGTTGTTCAACATTTTCTATAGTAGTAATATGTGGAAGACACAGTAAATGCAAATTTAGAAGCCAGATAAATTTTGACCCATATTTTACTCAAGATAGGATACTTTGAAAAAGCCTTGAGGCTTTTAATTTTTGAGTTAAGTAACATACGTTATTAGTGTAGATATTTTTTACTTTTCCAGAGCTCTAAGATGCATTGGAAATGCATGGCGAAACCTGTGAGTCTTGTCTGCCATCACCCCTGAAATATATATGGAGGTACTTCAGAAAGTTCATGAAAAATGGAATTAAAAAATATGATTTTTTGATATAAGAAAAATTGAAAACCAGGAGTTTTTTTTCATAATACAGATTTCCATGAACATTTTGAAGAATCCCATATGTGAACGTGCCATAGTTTTGTGTATGTTTCCTGTATCAATCTGGGAAGTGCATCCATGGATCTCTGACTCAGAAGAGTTCCCGGGGACTCTATGTGACACTGCATTTCTACTTTGTACTTAGGTGGCAGTTCAAGTACTGGCAATTAGTATGAAGAGGTGGAAAAGATGACAGACTATATGTTGTACTGTGGGAAGGTTAACTTTTGACTTTCAAAGTATTGGAGTGGTTCTGAATTGATAGTTGGAAATCCTGTTTGTGGGGTTCTCTTTGGCCATATCTGTAATGCAGAGTGGTTTGTAGGTCAGCAACCATCTCAGAACTTCAGCTGAGGGACAGTTTCTGTTTAATGTAGTTTTTGATGCCATTTCTCACATTCTGTGTTTGTCAGATAAGCACACACTGATATGAATAATAAGTAATAAAAATAACATTACCTACTACTTGCGGTGAATTATCAAGTCTGTGCTTTTTCGACAAAATTTACTTTGGAATTGATTTTCTATCACATTCTTTATTGTTGTTAATTGCTGATTGTCAGGCTAGCTTGTTTTTTCTACTCTTGCCCAGTAGATGGTACTGTCAGCCTTCTTTTGAAATATTCTATTTTCAGAGTTGATCATAAAACTAATTTTTTAACTTTTAAGATTTCTGTTTCCAGAAAGTAAAGTTATATTTAGCTCTTTTCCCTCTAACTTAGTGTTGCCACTTCCTAGACTAACTTTTCAGATGTCCCAGTGGGTGTCCTATGCACAGGTGACCTGGTACTTGTATCTGGAGTATGTAGTAGAGTGAAGATATTCTCACATCCCTTTCCTTTTTCAACTCATTGCACCAGAAAGTGTTTAATAATTGTGAATGATGTAGAAAATGGCATAAGTTGCAGTTTTTACCTGGTAGAAGCAATAATTTTTGCTTAAGATTTTTCTGACTTGGCAGTTTGAATGTAATTTGGTAAAAAAAATTCTATTGGTGTATTGACCAAATAAATATTTTTAGATGGGGAAACAAGAGCCTTGTTTAAATACTCCGTATTTGCATGCCTGTATATATTGTCATGAAAGAGCTCAACAATTTGATTATCCTTTAGAATTTTGAGCTGTCTAGCTTTTCATGATCTGTTAAATTTAGTGAATTCCTGCTGTCACCCTGTTGGGTGGCAAAATGGAAGGCATGCAGAAAACTGAAATTCATGAGTACGAGAGTACACGTAGCTGTTCCAGATGGAACAGGGCCCCAGCTCATAGGTAATGGTTAAGCCTTCACATGTACATGTAATGCAGCCAGACAGTTGAGAAACACTGTGAAGCTTGCCATGAGGTGAGAGGAATTTTTCAATATTTAGAATGAGAATGTCCATGAAATCAAAATGCTCTTACTTGCTGGTGATACAGTTGGCCAACAGCCAGTAGGCTTGTCAGCTCTCACAGGTATTTTTAGTGGTTTTGGAAGATTAGGGGTGAGGGTGGTGGAGAATTCTAAAGTGTACTAAGCAAAAAGGGAAGTATTTTGCTGGGCGGGGGTTACATGGCTCATGCATAATCATCTTGGGATACATGAGCAAGATATGTAGGCTATCAGTTCCTTCTTAACTTGGTGAGCTTGGGTGAAGCAAGTAGATTCCTGGAAAACGGTCATTTTCCTTTCATTAATTTTCATTATTAAATGGGCAGTAATGTGAAGCAAGAAAACACAGGTCTGAGTGAAAAGAGTGAAAGATGTTTGAAATGACAAAACCAGTAAAAGTCCAGTGGACTGTGGGTCTATTGGACAGCCCCGTTCCAGTGCTACTACCTTGCTTTGCTCTGTTCTCTTTCCAAAATAGTGAACTGCAGAAGATTTGATGCTAGTAGAACATTTTTCAAGATATAATTGCTTCAATTAACTTCTAATACATAGTTAATTTGCCTAAGGACTGTATGTGTTAGCCATTCAATAATCACTATCCTGAAACTTTTCCTCAATTTTTCCTCTTTCTTCCATGTTGTCACTAGTTTCGGGTAAATGAGTTTGGAGCCCTGGAAGTTATTACAGATGAGAGTGAGATGGAAAGTGTTAAAAAAGCAACTGCTACCACCACGTGGATGGTGCCAACTGCTCAAGAAGGTAAGACAGGGTCATCTGCATTTTCTTTTTTTTTTCCTTTGGAAATATTTGAAGTAAGAACATCTAAGGTTTTATAATAGGCTGGAACGTTGAAAGTCCTGGATGATTTTTGTGTCTTGCATTCTTAGGTAAATTTCTGTAATGCAACTGATAGGAGCCAGCTTTGACATTTAAAAAATAACAATAAACTCTTCTCTTCTGAAGCCAGATCTGTAATAGCACAAGGTTAGTTGGGAATTATCAAGTAAATCCATGTTGTAGCCTACACAGGTGATTTAGCCAAAAGCCTGCCACTTTTTTTCTCATCTACTCCGATGGTTGTAACTAACACCTATATGCTGATGACTCCTAAATCTATATCTCCAGCCCCGACCTCTCCCCCGAGCTCCAGGCCCGTATTTCCACCTGCCTACTGGACATCTCCACCTGGATGTCCCACAGGTACCTCAAACTCCACATGTCTGAAATGCAATTCATTTTCTATTTCTTTCTTCCCTCCCCACACTTGCTGTTTCTCCCCTAACCCATATTTCAGTTGACAGTAGCACCATCCACGCAGTGGACAAGCAGGAAATATAGGAGTCATCTTGAACTTGTTCTTCCCATCCCTATATCCTGTTCCTCACTGCTCTTACTTTGTCTCAGATCTGGCCTTTTCTGCCTGATACACTGCCACTGCCTTCATTTAGGCCCTTATCAGTTCTTACCTGAACTCTCATGGAACTCCTCTAAGTAACCGCCCTGCTCTGATTTCACCTCTTTCAATTTGTCTTGCGGTCTGAAGTCAGAGGAACTAGTTTACATTGCTTCTTTATCTGACACTTGCTGATTTCTCATTGCCTCTTTAGCAGAATGTACAAAGATCTGGGTGACCTGCACCCTCCTGCTTGCTATGTCTCCTGACTCTGCACTCCCTTCTTTGTATGTCGTGTTCTGGCACTGCCAGCGACACAGAATTACATGTAATTTTCCCACCGTGCTGCTTTGGCTTTGCTCTTGCTGCCTTTTCTGGCTTGAATGCCATTTCTCACTTTGTCCAGTTGATAAATTCCTCTTTGGTCCTCCAAATCCTGTCGAAGCTCTGTATCAGAAGATCCCTAATGGCTCCGAAACTCCCTGACCAACCCCCAGGCTGAATGAATCACTTTTTCCTCTGTACTGCTTCTGGAACTTGTTCATACTTCTATTATTGCATGTATCACATTTTAGTATAAATACTGGTTTTCTTGCCTCTCTTCTAGACTGTGAGCTCTCTTGGGCAAGGTCTCTACTGTCATTATCAGTGTCTAGCGTAAATTGGTGCCTAATAAATGTTTGCTGAATGAATGATTAGTGTAACAATTTAGGTACAAGGAAGTGTGAGTTCCTGAGTTATTTGGATAATTATGGTTCCCAAGATCTGCTATGTCAAATGTAAAATAGAGATATTGATTAGCCAATTAAGTAAACCATATGTCACTCATCACAAGGTTAAAAATGTGAAATAGCATAGATGACTTTAAAAGATTTTTTTATCAAAGATACACCTAGAAAATAGAATTCCTGTTGATGAGTAGTTTCGTGAGGGAGCCAGCCCTCCCTCCCCCTCCCAAATTCTCCAGTTCTGTCATTCATTCATTCAACAAACGTTATCCTTTTATTGTGTTTGCTAACAAAATTATTAGAAGAAAAAGTTTAAATGTATTCTGGAGAGTCTCCTGTGATGGTTTTAATTCTCCTTTTCATCTTCTAGTCTTTTCAGAGAAGTCTGGGGTGCCTTTCAGGTTGAAGGAGCCAGTGAAAGTGGAAGGGCTTCAGTTCTGTGAGAGCTGTTGTCAGTATGGCAACGTAGATGAGTGTCTGTCTGGAGGAAGCTATTGCAGCCAGAATTGCGCTCGGCATATCAAAGACAAGTAGGTTTTTTGCCTCATTCCATCTATTAAACTGATTTTTTAGATTCTTAGGTTATGGTCCCTGATAATCCAGAGGGTTTGTACTCCCTGATTTGTTCTTTTTCCAGAGGCTTTCCCTGATCCCTCTGTTGAACCAAGGATTTCTGTCATCCCTGGTCTGAGCTATATTGTTAAGAGTCTGCAGCAGTACAGCTTCTGCCTCTATCTTCAGCCTGTTGCCGACATTAATTTGATTGTTTCACAAAGTTACACATGGCTTCTCAGCTGGATGCCATTCTTAACAAAGAATTGCTCTAGAGACAAATATCTTTATTTATTTTTAAATATTTATTTATGTATTTGAAAGGTAGAGTTACAGAGAGGCAGAGACAGAGAGAGACATCGTCCATCCACTGGTTCACTCCCCAGATGGCCTCAATGGCTAGAGCTGCACCAATCTGAAGCCAGGATCCAGGAGCTTCTCTGGGTCTCCCATGTGGGTGCAGGGGCCCAAGGACTTGGACCATCTTCCACTGCTTTCCAGGCCATAGCAGAGAGCTGGATCATAAGTGGAGCAGTTAGGTCTCAAACTGGCATCCAAATGCGATGCTGGCACTGGAAGTGGCAGCTTTACCCACTATGCCACAGGTATGGCCCCATGAGACAAATATCTTTAAATAATCAATTCTTTAATCAGTATGAATTGCACCCTTGGAGACAAATAATTATAAACTTGTTAGAATCTTTTTAACAGATATAAGTATTGCCTGTCCCCTTTTGAAATTAATTAATTAATATGTAAAGTAATTTTCACCTTCTACCCTATAACATATGGGTACTTCATATATCATATATGGATACTTCAAAAAGTCCATTGAAAGTGGAACTAGAAAATAAGTTTATTTTAATGAAGGAAGTTTTGAAATCCATACATAAGAAGACTCTTCAAAAGTTCATAGAAAATGCAGACTATGAAAAACTATGCATGGATTTCAAAAGTTTCACACCAGTATACACTTATCTTTTAATTCCATTGTTCATGACCTTTTTTTTTTTTTTTTTTTTTTTTTTTGATAGGCAGAGTTAGACAGTGAGAGAGAGAGAGAGAGGTCTTCCTTCCATTGGTTCACCCCCCCAAATGGCCACCATGGCCAGCGCGCTGCGCCGATCCAAAGCCAGGAGCCAGGTGCTTCCTCCTGGTCTCCCATGTGGGTGCAGAGCCCAAGCACTTGGGCCATCCTCCACTGCCCTCCCGGGCCACAGCAGAGAGCTGGACTGGAAGAGGAGCAGCCAGGACAGAATCCGGCGCCCCGACCGGGACTAGAACCCGGGGTGCTGGCACCACAGGCATAGGATTAGCCAAGTGAGCCACGGCGCCGGCCATGAACTTTTTAAAGTACCCAATTCTGTAGTCATGGTTTTAATGTTCTTACGTATATGATACCCTGTTCTTTATATGTGATAGTTCTGCTTGGTGATAAAATATTTTTCCTTTGGCGTGTGATTTTTTAAAGTAATTTTTTGCATTGATAATCAACATGTAGATGTTTGATAGGTATTGTTTCCTGTCACTATTTTGGGGTTATAAACACAACAGAGATCAGAAAGAAGAAAGGGACATGGGAGAAGACAACGAGGAAGAAGATCCCAAGTGCAGTCGGAAGAAAAAACCAAAATTGTCTCTGAAAGCTGATGCCAAGGAGGATGGAGAAGACAGAGATGATGAGATGGTTTGTATCTCTTAGCAACCGCCAGGGAGCACGGGGAGTATCCATAGTCACAGCACTGCTCTGGAGCTTGTTACTTGAGTTCAGATGCTGGTTGCAGGACTGCGTGTTACTGTCATTGAGTGACCCAGCTTCTCTGTGCCTCATTGACCTCATCTCCCAATCGGGTTAACCAATAGTGTGGTACCCTTCCCTCAGGTGAGAAGTGGGATGTTCTGGAATTTACTGCAGGCATGAAAGGTAACGACTTTCCATTTTGTAAATGAATCGAATTCCTCTTGACAGCAAAATGCTAATCCCATTTTGGTAAATTGCAGACAGACCTCATAAAACTATGTGAGTGGGTAGAAAAATGCACATAAGTATCAGGTAGATTGGGGAACAATCATTCAGAATGTGCTAAGTAAAACACAAATATCGTGTCCCTAAAGTATATCTTACTTACTCTGATTTCTGTGATAAGAGAACTTTGAGGTATTGAAGCATTTTGCTTAAGATTAATACTGAGCAACTGTTACACGCCAGACACTCTTAGGAGCTGGGACTTACAGGATGAATAAGAGAGGACTGAGTTACTCCTCTTAGAGGCATTGTGCTCTTGTTAAGGGGATGTATAATACACATGCAGAATGAACAAGAAGAAGAACCACTAGTGAGAAATGCTATAATGAGAATTAAAATAGGGCTTTGGGATGGGCTGGCTGACTTGAGTTGGGGCATCAGGGCAGCCTTCCACAGAAGTGGGCGACAGTGTCATCTGAGCAATGAATGAGGAGCCAGCTCTGGGAGAGGTTGAGGGAGAGGAGTCTGCTGGGCTGTAGAACTGAGGAAAGTTCCTGAGGTTGCAGCGTGTTCAGCATGTTGCGTTTGAGCAAATTAGAAAGAGCCAGGGTAGTTGTGCATTGTGGGCTAGTGGGAGTGGAGTCAGGTGAAACTGCAGAGGCCCCATAGAGCCTTCCGGGAACAGAGTGATGAGTTTTCTTGTATTCCAAGTGGAAGGAGGTGTCATTCTAAGTGGAGACAAAGGAATGTGTTGGTCAGATTTATGTTTTAAAATGACTGTAGGAGAGCAAGAGTGGATCAGGGAAACCAATGGGGAGTGCATTGCAATAGATGAGCCCTGTAGGCTGGATAAGGTAGGAGTCATTGCATTTGGGATGGATGTTCGAGGTAGGCTTGTTAGCATGTGTGAGGGAGAGGAGAATCAAGGGTCACTCACAGTTTTTAATTGAACCATTGGCCAATCATGCCACTTACTGGGAATAGGAAAGAAGGATGGAACAGAGAATTGAGGCCCTTAGCTGTCATGAGTTTGAGATGTGGATTAGCTGTCTGATTGAGGCTCTCAAGGGCCGAGGGGTGCGGGTAGTGTGCACACACATAGAGTCAGTGAGAGGGAGCTGGAGATGCCAGCTGGGAGTATTTGGTGTACAGGTGACCTTGAAACCCCAGGGCAGTGAGCAGATACAGCAGAGTGGGGAGGAGACTGAGCAAGAGGAAGACCAGACCGAGTTTCCAGGAGGAGAGAGCAGTGTCCCTGTTCTTTCAAGAGCATAATTCTTGGAAGTGTGCTCGAATTGTAATGACCTCAGGCCAAAAGCAACATAGTTCTGAAATGAACTGTATTCTTACTTTCCTTAACAGTTATGGAGTGTAATTGAAGGAAAGAACAACAACAAAAAATGCTTACCGACAGCTCTTGAACTTTTCATTGCTGCCAGTTTCGTGAACTTTCAAGGTCCTAATTTTCCTTTCTTGCCTGTAGGAGAACAAACAAGATGGAAGAATCCTGAGGGGTTCGCAGAGGGCCCGCAGGAAAAGACGAGGCGATCCAGCTGTCTTGAAGCAGGGTGAGCTGATGAAAACTCTTGCTTGGAACTTGATGAAAGGGAGACTAGCTCACATAGGTTTAGTCTTTATTGTAACACACATTCTGGCAGTTAAGGTACTGCTTTGAGTTTTTCTTTTAATTCAGTTTTGTCAAGAAAAGTTAAGGTTTAGAGGAAATAAGAAAAAACTGAAAATTAGTAACTTTCAAGTGTTTCAGAGTAAGCATGAGAACATCTATTTTCCTGTCAGGTCACTGGTTCCTGCTTTTGTGCCTTTATCCCATTCTGTTCATTTTCCAAGATTTCAGATTTTTAAAAAATATATTTACCTATTTACATGAAAGGCAGAGTGACAGAGAGAGGAAGAGATTAAGAGAGAGAAGGAGTGAGATCTTCTGTTCACTGGTTCTTCAACAGCCAGGACTGGGCCAGGCTGAAGCCAGGAGCCAAGAGCTCCATCCTGGTCTCCTGCATGGTTGGCAGGAGTCCAAGCATTTGGACCGTCATATGCTGCCTTCTCGGGTGCATTAGCTGGAAGCTGGATCAGAAGTGGAATAGCTCTGATGTGGGATGCTGGCATCACAAGCAGTGGCTTAGCCTGCTGTGCCATGATACTGGCCTGGTTTTAGGTTTTTAGCATTCCCTCTCAAAGCACAACTTCCTGATGTGGCACTTTTTTTTTTTTTTTTTTTTTTTTTTTTCTTCCTTTTGCTGTTGTCAGGCAGCATTTTCTTCTCAGGCCCCTCCTTGATTATTTGGCTGATGACTTAGTCCCTCTGTTGGGGGTGGGCCTTGGTCTTTTCCATAGATGCCTCGGTGTCTTGCCCAAGGCTTTAAGCCTGTGGTTTGCCGCATCTCTCTGCTTGGCCCTGCCTGACTATTGACCTATGCAATCCTGCAGGTCAGTGCCCCGAGCCCAGAGCTCCTGCTTGCACAGCCTTGTTCTGTTACTTCCTTGTTGCAAGCTAGAAATACAGGTTGCACATCCAAGATCCAAAACTTGTTGAGTGCTAGAGTAAAGCCTCTGCAGATATTCTGAAATCTGAAAAGCTCTGGAATCTGAAACTCCTCTGGCCTCAAGCATTTTGGATAAGGGATATTCAACCTGTGTTTCCTCTTGCTCAATCCCGCAGCCTTGCTTTTATGTCTTTTCAGAGGTGGCTACAGAGGGAGTAAATTCCTCTGTTCCCTTGTTCTCTGCCTCAGAATGTCTTGTTGCTCCAAACCTTTCTTTCCCTTCCCTTTAATCTCTTCTCTGGATGAAATTCCAGGCCCCTGGCACCTCCAGGACCTTGAGCCCTCAGTCGTCCCCCAACAAAACCCACCCACCACCCTTAGTATGTTTTTTCTCTTTGTGGCTCCACTCCTATGCTAATCTCATCCTCAAAATACCTTTCCCCTCATGTTGATACTATAGCTATTCTAGTCTTTCCTTCATAGCCAATTTTTTTGTCAAATTAATCCAGGATAAAATTGATATGAACTGCCTGCCTCCCTATTTTTACCACTTAGGTATGCTTTTTACACCTGAAAATCTGACTCTTGCTCTGTTGTCTTTTTTTCTTTCTCTTGGACTTTAGAAGCCATTCCCTGAGCACCCAGTGCTAGGTCCCCTTCTCAGTTCTCTGATATTCATCTCTAGAGCTATCACTTCCTGAAGCTTTCATGGGGTTGCTGTATTTTGGCTCCTGCTGTGTCTTTTCATTTTCTCTACCTTCTTCTTTCTTCTGCCCTCCTAACTGGATATATACCATAGTTCATGTCTTAGCTTTTGAATTCTTTTTCTTTTTAGGGGGGAGGAGGAGACAGAAAAGAAGCCAGAGATACCAGCCACAGGAAAAGCTAGGCATAGTAGTAGTCATGGAAGTGAGAACTTGCTAAATACATCACTGAGTTGGAAATTGTATCACTGAGTTCCTGTTGCCTCTCAGGTTTGCCTCCTAAAGGAAAGAAGGCTTGGTGCTGGGCATCCTACCTGGAGGAGGAGAAAGCTGTGGCAGTGCCAGCGAAGCTGTTCAAGGAGGTACTGGCCATGTCAGAAACGTTGTGGGTGATGGCAGAGCACTGTTCAGAGCTAGCATTGTCATTTTCATGTTCTCTTTAGGAAATGTGACTTAGGATTAACTTCCCTCACCTTCTGTTTTTCACGTGTGCCAGGGGAGGGCATCCCCAGGAGCAGTTAGCACTGTTGGGTGCCCACCTTCTCCAGTGCTACTCTGGAGCACTCACCCACGCACAGGCTTTTTTCTCTCAATGCTTGCTAAGCTTTCGCTCATGATTTTGAACAAGGCCTCTAATTATTGCAAAAAAACTAATCATGAAGAAAAGCTGGTGTGAAATGTCATGTCAGCAGCATGGCTTTGGGAGATTTATGTACTATCACAACAAAACATTTAAAAATGAATTACTGTATTATGCTCAGGTTGGTGAAAATAAAAATATTTTATTATAGATGACTTAAATCAGTTAAAAATATAGATGCCAGGTGTAGTTCTGGGTAGGAGCTGCTGCCCTGGATGAAAATGAGGGTCAGGGACCACCTTCTGCGAAGGAGTAGACAGTACATGTTCCAGCCTTCCCAGGGCTCTGGGCCCTGCTGCAACAACGTCCCTTAGTTCTTGTGATGTCAGCCACAGATAAAACGTAAATGAGTGGACATGGCTGCTCCCAGTACAGCTGTATTTACCAAACCTACTGATGGGCCGGATTTCACTCATAGGCTGTAGCCTCCCAACCTTTGATTTAAATTATTTAATGGTATTTAATCATGGTGTGTAGTTAGTCTGCCACAGATATCTTTTATCTACGTGTGAACATAGGAGTTCTTATAAAATGATGAATAGTGAATGTTAGGATGGTTACATCTACATGAAGGATATTTAATTTAAACATATGTACTTGTTAATTACATATTAACTTGTTCTGTCTAATTATTTTCTATGACTTTGGTCCCTTACAGCATAGATTTTTTCACATTTTTCAAAAAACATTTAAATTCAGCTAATTACTTGAATCAATAAAACATTCATGTGATTCAAACTGTAAAAGTTCTGAAAGAATGTAAAGCATATTCCTATTAGCCCTGTCTCCCAAAGCACCAGGTTTGTCTCTGACAAAGGTTACCTGTTCTTGCATTACCCTTCCTGGAAAATTATATGTTACCTCTGTAAGCAACATACTTATCTACGTACAAATCTTCCCATCCCTGTCTTAAACCAAATGATGCATATGTCATCCCTTTTTGGACTGCATTTTTATTTAGCTTGATAGTTTGGGATTCCATTCATCATTATTTTATACTAATGCATAGTATTTCATTTTGTCTTTCATAATAATTTAAGTTGCTCTCTATTGATTGACATCTGCATATATTTTTTTTAAAATCTCTTCTTATACATTTTAGTGAATATTCTTACACACTGTCATTTTGCATGTGTGTGATTATCTGTGTTAGCTGATTTCCTAGAATAAGAATTGCTGAGTTGAAGAGAATGTTTTTAAATAGATATCATGACATTGCTAGAGGTTATTCCAGTTTTCATTCCTATTAGTGATGCATGCACGTGTCTGTTTTCCTAGTGCCTTACCAACAGTGTAATCAAGCTGTTTGATCTTTATAACTTGACAGGTGAAATGTATTTTGGTTTAATATTACTTTGCGTGACTTGTCATGAGTAAGGTTGAGCATCTTTTCATAATATGTAAAAGATAAAGTTCAGGAAGCATTAAATTTTCCTTCCTGTGGCCCATTTATAACCTTTGTCCATTTTCCAATTATTCATTGATTATTTTCTTTTGGATCTGGGGAAGTTATTTGTATATTTGGTGAAACTGAATTTTACGAGTGGTGATTACTCATGTTTTTGATGAGGCCTTCTGGATAGATACTAAAGCATCTGTCATTTTGCATTTTAGTATCAGTCCTTCCCATATAACAAAAATGGATTCAAAGTTGGCATGAAGTTGGAAGGTGTGGACCCTGAGCATCAATCTGTGTACTGTGTCCTCACTGTGGCTGAGGTAAGTTTTGCCTCATTTTGACTTTCAAAACAGAATGATGAGTATAGGGTTGCAATAGTGGTAAAACTGCCATTGGTTGAGTGCTTCCTTCAATCCAGTCGTGGTACTTAGTGTTTCGTGTGCCCCATCTCATGTAGTCTTTGTAGGAATCCTGTCCTCTGCAAGTCAGGGTTTTTTTTACCCCTGTTCTGACCATGAGAACACTGAGGCCCAGAGAGGTGAAGTGTTGGATTCAGTGACACACAACTTTGAAGCACTAGAACTAGCATTTGATCCCAGTCTGGATGTTTGACTCCGTAGCCTTTGCCTTACTGTATTCCTTAATTATAGGAACAGATTAGCGAATATTCACTTTTAAAAAAAAAATTATCTGGAATTATCTCTGAAAATTTTCAGGGAAAAAAATGACCAAATCAGTTATTATAACTCAGTATATTGCTGAGAACATTTGAGTTTTAGTTTGTTTCCTCCTATAACAGCCTTACTTCGTTGAGCCAAGTGTATGTATCTTTTCAAAATTTCCCCAAAAAGCATGAGATGGCCTTGTGAACTAGTTTTCACTATCAATGTCTTCTTTCTATTTATTTATTTTTTTGACAGGCAGAGTAAGAGAGAGAGAGACAGAGAGAAAGGTCTTCCTTTTGCCGTTAGTTCATTGCCAAAATGGCCACTACGGCCGGTACGCTGCTCCATTCCGAAGCCAGAAGCCAGGTGCTTCCTCCTGGTCTCCCATGGGGTGCAGGGCCCAAACACTTGGGCCATCCTCTACTGCCATCCCGGGCCATAGCAGAGAGCTGGACTGGAAGAGGAGCAACCAGGACAGAATCCGGCGCCCCGACCGGGACTAGAACCCGGGGTGCCAGCACCGCAGGAGGAGGATTAGCCAAGTAAGCTGGTGCTGGCCTCAATGTCTTCTTTCAGTTTCTTACTGAATTTATAAGAAGCTTGGCTTTTGCTGAACACAATAATACGATAGCTGGACAATGACAATTACAGTGAATGGGAAGAGACTATAAAGTGTTAGATTTTAAGAAGCCATCAGGGAGTCGAGTACTGAAAGGTTGATGAGAGAGCAGATAATTGATAAAGAGGGAGTAGGAGAAGAGGGGAGTCAGGCAGAGAGGAAGCACAAGGCTTTCCTGGGGTGGGCAGTGGTTGGGTAGGAGTCTGTTCTTACATTATAACAGGAAGGCTAGGGGAAGGTTTGAATACATGGAAGCCTTGCATATCCAAGCATCCAAAACATGGATACATGCAAGCTCATCTGTTTGGAGGCAGACACTTGAGGGGACATCCTTGATATGGAAGATAAGTCATTGTTCTAGGGTAAGGAATGGAGGTAGTGAGATTGGATGCAGAAAGAGAAGGAAGAGGATTTGAATACGCTGTTCTGCAGGCTGGGAGGAAGGCTGAACAGCAGGGAGAGCCAGCATTCAGGCAGTTTAGTCTGCTTAGTCCACTTTGTTATTTAAGGTCATTATAGTCCTAGGGGAAATACAAGTTTTGGTTCCCATGAGCCTCCACTCACAGTATGTTTGCAGATTGGTGAATGTATAACCTCATTTTGTGTACCTCTCTATTTAGATATTCCCCATTTAGTATATTTTTATTAGCAAGGAACTCAGAACTGACAGCACTCCCAGTCATGCCTGAGTAGTGCTTACCTAACACACACATCACAGCCTTCTGCTGCTTAGGTGCATGAGGCAGCACTGGGGCACTGTACTTGGGGGCCATTTTAAACAGCAAATCTCTAAGGAAAAGGGCAGAATTGTGGAAAACGTGGCACTAAATACGCCACCCAGAAGACATTTGTTCCCGGCAGGAGAGCTGAAACAAGAAGGCAGGCTGACGCCCTATCAACCTCAGCTGAGAACATGTGCCTTGGACAGCTCAGGTGTTTTGTCACTCTGCACGTGCATCTTCACAAACACCAGGATATTATTTTGGGGTTAGAAATAAATTTTAGCAAGCAAGTGACTTTGTAAATATGCAATGCATGGATAATGAAGATCGCCTCTATATAATTTCTTCTTTGCTAGCACCATTCACTAGACCAGGTACAAGGGCTCTTCACAATATTCATGGAAAATGGAAATAACAGAGAAGTTTATTTTGGCATGAAAAATCTGAAATCCATTGCATGCAAAGGTGTTTAAAAAGTTCATGGAAATTTGTTTTCTGAGAAACTATGCATAGATTTCAAAATTTTTTGCAACAGAATAAGCTGCTCTTTTGATTCTGTTTCCCATGAATTTCTTTTAATAAAAGATTTATTGATTTATTTGCAAGACCAAGTAACAGAGCACATGTGAGAGAAATCTTCCATCCTCTGGTTTACTCCCCAAATGGCTGTAACAGCGATGTCTGGACCAGGCCAAAGCCAGGAGTCAGGAACTCCATCATGGTCTCCCATATGGCTGCAGGGCAAAGTCTTGGGCCATCTTCTCCTACCTTCCTAGGTGCATTAGCAGGGAGCTGGACTGGACATGGGGCAGCTGGAACTTAATTTATTTATTTATTTGGGCACTCTGATAGGTTTTGCCAGCTTAATCTGTGCCACAACATCAGCCCCTTCATGAATATTGTATAGTACCTTTGCATAGGTGTAGATGAGGTGGATAGTTGGAATGATGGACATTTGCCAGGAAAATGTTTTAAGTGATTTTAGGAGAGGAAGGCTTGGGTTGACGGGGCTGCTAGAGAGAAAGTCCTGGAGTTCTCATTGAGATTGGGAAGAAGCGTATTGGGGGATTAGTGAACTGCAAGAACAGGAGATGTCTTCACAGGACTGAGTGGGCTCAGAAACTCTTTCCTTTTATTTTATTGAAAACTGTTTAATGACCATATGGTACATGTACACCTGTGTGGGGTACCAAGCATTGTTTCAACTTGTGCATCTTCTAAGCTAAGAGTTGAGGGGCAGAGCAGTTTCTGATGGGGACTAGATCTGTGGACGGGCTATGTGAGGGAAAGAGATGAAGGGAGCCCAGAGGCCAGGGCTTGGAGGAACCCCTAGGGGAGTGAGCAGACAGCCCAGGATGAGAGCAAGAGGGCAGAGCCCACCTGGTGTGAGGGGAGAGGTGGCACAGCCCACTGGCACGAGCCTTGGGGGCAGAGTGGAGGAGCTCAGGCTCCACAGGACCACGAGATAGAGGGATCAGGAAAGGCGTGAGAGAGGCAAGTGAAGGAGGTCCTTGCGTGTGAGGGGAAGGGTGTGGGAGATTGAGGGTGTGAGGTGCAGTGAAGAGACTGTGGAGAGAGCAGAGGTGGGCTGAGAGCACAGAGCATGGGGACCACAGGGCTCTGTGAGCTCTAAATCAACAGGTGGAGCTCGGAGGCATCACCCAGACACTGCGGGGTGCAAGGCCGGGTGGGGAAGAAGCTCTTGAGCCCGCCTTTGCTGTGGAGTGGATGTGCAGGTGGGCACAGCCACTGCCCTTCCTTAGAGATTCTCTTCCCCAGGGGTCCCAGTCTCAGTAATGTAGAGACTCCCTTGGGAGGGGAGAGTCCAGCCTAGCTGTAGATTTTATATATGTAATGTACCAGTGCATCCTAGTTTAAAAATGCTAATAGGCCGGTGCCACAGCTCACTAGGCTAATCCTCCACCTAGCAGTGCCGGCACACCGGGTTCTAGTCCTGGTTGGGGCACCGGATTCTGTCCCGGTTGCACCTCTTCCAGGCCAGCTCTCTGCTATGGCCCGGGAGTGCAGTGGAGGATGGCCTAAGTCCTTGGGCCCTGCACCCCATGGGAGACCAGGAAAAAGCACCTGGCCCCTGGCTCCTGCCAGGATCAGCCCGGTGCGCCGGCCGCAGTGGCGGCCATTGGAGGGTGAACCAACGGCAAAGGAAGACCTTTCTCTCTGTCTCTCTCTCTCACTGTCCACTCTGCCTGTAAAAAAAAAAAAAAAAAAGCCGGCGCCGTGGCTCAATAGGCTAATCCTCCACCTTGCGGCGCCGGCACACCGGGTTCTAGTCCCGGTTGGGGCGCCGGATTCTGTCCCGGTTGCCCCTCTTCCAGGCCAGCTCTCTGCTATGGCCAGGGAGTGCAGTGGAGGATGGCCCAGGTGCTTGGGCCCTGCACCCCATGGGAGACCAGGAAAAAGCACCTGGCTCCTGGCTCCTGCCAGGATCAGCGCGGTGCGCCGGCTGCAGCGGCGGCCATTGGAGGGTGAACCAACGGCAAAGGAAGACCTTTCTCTCTCTGTCTCTCTCTCTCACTGTCCACTCTGCCTGTCAAAAAAAAAAAAAAAAAAAAAAAAAAAAAAAAAAAAAAAAAAAGTAAAAATGCTAATAGTAGAAATCACTGTTTTGGCAGATGTTCTTCCAGACTTTACTTTTTACCGTGCATTTACTTAAATACATGCATGTTTAGGTGTAGGCAGAGTTACAGACAATCTGCTGGTTCACTCTTCAAATGGCTGCAACAGCCAGAGCTGGGCTGATCCAAAGCCAGGAGCCAGGAGCTTCTTCCAGGTCTCCCATGTGGGTGCAGGGACCCAAGTACTTGGGCCATCCTCCACTGCTTTCCCAGGCGATTAACAGAGAGCTGGATTGAAAGAGGAGCAACTGGAGCCACCGGGACATGAACCAGCGCCCATATGGGATGCCAGCGCCTCAGGCGGAGGCTTAAACTACTACACCACAGCACCTGCCCATCCGCTAGTAGAGAGGAGAATCTGGTGACTTCTTTGGGAGTCTGCACCTGCAGTAGTCTGCAGCATTTAGTGTAAGGCAGAAGAACATCCACCCTGGGGCCCTTCTGGGGCTGGGTATGTGTGTTGGGCTGGCTGCTTCCATGCCAGCTTGCCTTGGTGACAGGTGCTGGGCAGTATAGGAAGAAGAGATTGGATATGTGTTTGTAGGAAACTGCTCTTCACCCTGTATCCATGTGCTGCTAGCACAGCTGGAACACAGCTCAGATCTTCCCAGAATGGCCCTTGCCTTTGGGTTTTGTCATTTGTTTTTTGTTTCTGTTTCTTTGAAGGAGGATGGTTTGATGCACACAGGCTATATTGTTCCTGATGTCCATGCTAATGCATTTTTGTGCCATGTACACAAATATTCTGGTTTTGTTGCTTTGCTTTGTTTAATTACTCAACCTGCCTTGCTTATTTCAGGTTTGTGGATACCGAATAAAGCTTCACTTTGATGGTTACTCTGACTGTTACGACTTCTGGGTAAATGCGGATGCCCTGGATCTTCACCCCGTTGGCTGGTGTGAGAAAACCGGCCATAAACTCCATCCTCCAAAAGGTGTGGTCACTTTCTGTGGTGTTTTTTTTTTTTAAAGACTTATTTATTTATGTATTTGAAAGTCAAAATTACACAGAGAAAGAAGGAGAGGCAGAGAGAGAGGAGAGGTCTTCCATCTGCTGGCTCACTCCCCAGCCAGCTGCAATGGCTAGAGCTGCGCTGATCTGAAGCCAGGAGCCAGGAGCTTTCTCCGAGTCTTCCCATGCGGGTGAAGGGGCCCAAGGACCTGGGTCATCTTCTACTGCTTTCACAGGCCATAGCAGAGCTGGATTGGAAGTACAGCAGCCAGCTCTCGAACCGGCACCTGTATGGGATGCCGGCACTGTAGGCAGTGGCTTTACCTGCTACGCCACAGCACCAGCCCCATCTGTGGTGTGTTTTATATCCATTAAAATCTCATTTCCTTACACACTAATTTAGAATTTTTAAGAATGTAAAGTTCATGGTAATTTTGCAGTGCTGAAATTCAAGCTTATTTTTTAGATTGAAATATACATTTACTAAAGTGAAACAAATGAAAGTCAAATTGAGCTTGAGAATAACCTATGTCTGTATACTGATTCACATGTAAAGTAGCACTGTGTGACACGTAACTTTGACAACACACAACTCTTACCTTCAGATTTCTATTTTATATATATATATATACTTTTATATGCACATACATTTGCATACTTGAAGAAACTGATTTGAAAAATGAGTTTTAGCTAATTTACTCAACTGTTTATTTACTAATATTTCTTTGTAAAGAAAACCATGAGAAATTATGCCTTGACCTTACAGATCTTAAAATTTAGGAGACTGGCTAGGAGGTTATAGCACTAACAGTTGGCTTAGGTGTGAGTTGTACTAATAGCAATTACTGTTCTCTTGATGGAGTTCTACATGTTACAGTTTGCCAATGATTTTGCCTGTTTCATGTTCATAAAGTACCAAGAACAACAGCCATCATTTTTGTCTATATTATTTGTATATATTTGTATATGTTATATTTTGTCTATAATTAGTTTAATAATGTCATATTCCTTTCTTTTTTAACTATTGCAATTATTATTTTTTACTTGATGTAAAAAAAATTCAGACAAGTAGTTTGATATTTTTGGCCTGTCTTAGGGCTATTCATCAGTGGACAAGTCAGCCCTTGGTTTTAAGTGGAAAAAATTAATGGCAGAATGGTATTTTCAGAGAGCTGAAAGACTAAACAAAACACATAGAAAAGATGAGGGCCAAGAAGAAACTTTGGCCTTTGCATAAATTTTTCTTGCATATGTGGTTATTATTAGCTATTCTAGAATTTATCGAAGAGAGAGCACGTTAGCAGATAAAGTGCTCAATTTTAAGGAAAGGTTGTCTCTAATGAAATGTAAAAATTGAGGCAAGAACATTTCCCTTTTTGCAATTTACCAATATATCTTTATTTCATAAACCTCAAGTAGTCATTTTTGTATTGATAAGTCAACAGTTTTACCCGTTTTATTACTATCTTTTTACCCCCCCCCCACTTGTTCCTATAAGTTAATCTCCCAAAATAGAGTAGCACAGGCAAAAATAAAGAATTTGACTACTCCAGATCACTAGTCTATACTACTAAAGATTTCTACCTAAATACTCATGGAAATACCCTGGTGATAAAAAATTGTACCTGATACAGTAAGTATTTGCTTCCTTTTTCTTTTTATTTATATCTATTAGTATTCATTTGGAATTGAAATAAATACTACATTTGATCTTAGCCAAAAGGCCGAGAAGCAATAGAATTGAAAAACTAATAAAATTTGTTGAAAATAAATAGCTTATATCTATTATCAATTCCCAACTTGACTCTCACTGGGATTAAACATGACAATAAGTCTGATCTGATTTCATCATCATTTAAAAAATCATCTATTATTTTTCACTTTATGTTTCTGTGTGGGAGCAAACTGTTGGAATCTTTACTTAATGTATACTAAACTGATCTTCTGTATATAAAGAGAATCGAAAATGAATCTTGATATGATTGGAAGGGGAGAGGGAGTGGGAAAGGGGAGGGTTGCGGGTGGGAGGCACGTTATGGGGGGGAAGCCATTGTAATCCATAAGCCGTACTTTGGAAATTTATATTCATTAAATAAAAGTTAAAAAAAAAGAATAAATAGCTTATATCTATAAATCCATAATTATGAATTATGGATTAATTTTATTTAAGAAATTATTTAATTGCTTGATTTGGATATGTTGGAGTTACAGATAAAAGTGAGACTGGAAAACTAAGTGTAAAATATTTTGATATTTTACTGAGTCTTTTCATATGTGCTTGTCTTAGGATATAAAGAAGAAGAATTTAATTGGCAGACCTATCTTAAGACATGCAAGGCTCAAGCTGCTCCTAAATCATTATTTGAAAACCAGAATATAGTAAGTATATCTCAAATGCCTTTTCTTTCAAAGAAAATATTTTTTATTTATTTTTATTTTAAAATTTACTTCTTAATCCATTAAAATCTCTTGACAATAATTTTACATATTTATAGGGTACAGTGAGACATTTCAGTACATGTATACAATGTACTGATTACATCAGGGTAATTAAAATTTCTCCTGCTTTGTCGTCACTTTCTAATTAAACCCTTGGAGCCCCTCTCATCTGTCAGAAATATGCACCACGTTTTTTTTTTATAAGTTCATCTGGTGATGGACACCTTGGTTGCTTATGTATTTTGGCTGTGTGAATTAGCCTGCAGTAAACATGGTGATGAAGTATTGCTTTGATATAGTGATTTCATTTCTTTTAGCTATATATCTAGTAATGAGGTTGCAGGATCATATGGCTGTTCTGTTTGTAGTGTGTTTTGGCACTGTAGTGGCTGTACTAATTTACATTCCTACCAACAGTGGTGTATAAGAATTCTCCTTTCTTTACATACTCGCCAGCATTTGTTACTGTTTGATAATAGCCATTCTAACAGAGGTGAAGTGATAATGTCATTGAGGTTTTGATTTGCATTTCCCTGGTGACTAGTGATATTGACCATTTTTTCATGTACTTGTATTTCTTTTATTGAAAAATGTCAATTCATATCCCTTGTAAAATCATTTCTTAACTAGATTGGTTGTTGAGTTTTTTGAGTACCTTGTATACTGCATATAAATCCTTTGTCAGGTAGATAACTTGCAAATATTTTCACTCTGTTGATTGTTTCTTTCCCTGTTGATTTTTTCCTTTGCTGTACAGAAACTTAATAGTTTATTTTAATCCTTTTTGTCTAATATTTTATTGCCTAAGCTTTTGAGGTCTTATCCAAAATTTGCTGCCTACATCAATGTCTTGAAATGTTGTTTTCTAGCAATTTCATAGTATCAGGTCTTCTGAGTTGATTTTTCTGTGTGGTGAGAGGGATCTCATTTCCTGTTTTTAAGTGATTTTTGAGTATCTCCTAGGATAAATCCCAAGTGATAGGAAGGAGCTATAATAAATTTTGTTGCCTTGGTAAATAGAGTATTCTTATGTTAATTAAAGTTTAAAATTAACTTAGGATCTTCATGAATAAATTTCTACTTTATAGCCATATTACAGTTGCTTTTTTATTGGATAGGAGGGAACGTAGTACCATATCCACGTGTAATTTACAACTAAGCTGCATAAAAATTAAATTGGGCTCTTTATTGTTCTCATCATTTCCTTAGGAGTGCTGGTCAGATGGCGTTCCCAGAGTGAGCCCTGTTTCTTTCACATACAAGAGAGTGCTAGAGACTGATGTACCTTCACTCCAACTTACAGCGCTATCTGCACTATAGTAGAAGCAAAGTCTGGATGTGTGTCTGGACCTGCATTCCTACTTTTCACTACCTGTTCCTCTGTTAGCATCTCTGAAAGGGCCTTGGCAGGTTAAACTCCTCTTTCTCCAAGCTCTGACCTAATTGGAGGGAACAGAGGACAAGCAGCTGGCAAACAGAATACACAACTGCAACTGATTAGGGCTGAGGTGTAGAACATCTATGTCCTGTCTTTGTGAATAAATCAGCTTCTTAATTCTGGGCCCTGAAATTAATGGGATTCCCTGCCTGACTCCCAAACCCCAGGGAGCACTGGACTTCTAGGAGCAGAGTAGAAGTCATGCACCCAGCAGTCCAGGGGCCTCTCAAGAGGTAACTGGTTTCTCTTCCGTGATTCGCCAGGCAAGTGCCAGTGAGAAGGTGGAGAGACGCAGTGATGTTTCACTAACAGGGTTCTTTCCAGATGGAAATAAATACCAACAGTGGGGAAAAGCCTTCTCACCAACCCTCCGAAAACCTTCCCTTTGGGAAATGGTATTATCTAATTGTTAATATCAGCCTAATAGCTGAAGCATTCTCTGCGTAAACTGAACACAAACCAGGTTGAATGCGAGAAGTGGAGTGTGTTATGTGTCTGTGCAACTAATAGAGATAATGAGCATGTTATTATTTTAAAAATACCTTAATTGAAAGGATGCTTACTTGCTGATATGTGAACTGTGGATGCTCCCTGTGGGGACTTACTGCAGGGAGGAGGATCACTTAGGTGAGAACTTAGTAGTCGGCTGCTGGTGCCCTGGTTTCTTCTCTGAGGGTAGCTTCAGTCTAGTCTTGACTACCTTGAACATGCCTATTAAATTCTGCTCATTGCTAGCATGAAACTTAACTGTGGGCGCCGTGTTTGGTTATTTTCCTGTTTCTAGATTTGTCCACTCCCAAATACTCAAATACTTATGCTTTTAGCACTGAAAGTAATTTTTAGACTTCAGTGTACATTGAAAATTGCAGTGTAGCATTAGTACCTGCTCCTCCAATTCACACAAGACTTATTGTAACATTTTTAGATAAATGGCTGTCTCCATTTTTGCAGTGATGGCTGTATAATTACAGTAAAAAGACAGAGAACATTTATTTTGCTTGAAATACTTAGAATAATACCTGTATATTTTATTCTACTCAGAAGACATTTTTAGAAAAGATGACTATGCATATTGTGATTGGCATAATTAATAACCAGGTACATTAATTTGAGATTTAGATATTTTTCCTTACAAAAGAATGTAGGGATGTTTATATATTACTGTACCTCAGACACACACTCTTACTGAACTTTCACTGCATTTGTTCGTGTCCCAGATGGCTGGTAATCTGTGAGCTTCCTTAAACTAGCAACTATTTTGAATGGCTGCATATTTGCCTATTTACAGCTAGTTCTGCTGCTACTGTTGTGTGAAGTTACAGTTGTAATGCTTTGCAGCCTTCTCTGTATGAAGATGACCTACTTTCAGTACTCTTTTCAGAGTTCTTTTCAGAAAGGGGGGGTGAATTTGTATTGACTCATGCACACTTTTAACTCAATTAACTGCATATTTTGTTTGAAATAACTTTTATTGTTAAATCTGTAATCAAAGAAAAGGTCAAAATGTGAAATCAGTGGTGAGTAAATCTTGCCTAACCAGTACAGTCTTCTAACTAAGATTCCAAAACTCAAGGTAAAATTATCTTAACACCTGTGCATGTGCGTATATTTTAGTTCTGAGGCTCAGATAGTTAAATGGGTGTAGAAGCAGGACTTTGTTTTATTGCTGCTTGTTGGAAAGTGACCGCGCAGTGAAACTGGGGCATAATTTTTAATTTACATAAATACAGAGTAGATGCTGGGCCTTTGTGCAGAAGGAGCAGAGTGTATGCTAGTCTTGCTGTCAGCAAATGTCTGCTTATCTCTAATTGAATCTGTGTGTTTCCATAGACAGTGATCCCATCAGGCTTCCGGGTTGGAATGAAGCTTGAAGCTGTAGACAAAAAGAATCCTGCGTTCATCTGTGTTGCCACGGTAACAGATATGGTGGACAATCGTTTCCTGGTACATTTTGACAACTGGGATGAGAGCTATGACTATTGGTGAGACATTTTCCAGTGATATGTGCTTTTTAAAGTGTAATGTTTATGTAATAAACAAGGTACATGGCTTAAAAACCGTAATAATCAAAACTCACAACAAAGAAATAACAATGATGTGCCCCACTGTTTTCTCTTGCAGATTTTCAATTTTTTGCCTATTCCATAATGCATGTATTTCTTAATAACATCCTTTAATGCTAGCCTGTGATATGGATTTTGGTTGACTTCCTACCATGGAAGTGAAATTTACACACTCCACATCCCCAAGATCACACACATGTGTGTGCCCATGTCCCACTTTCCCCTTCAGCTTCAGTGTCTCTATCAGCTTTTTAGGAACTTATTCTAATCTTCCTTGGTATGTACATTCCCAGTAACTAATTTAACCATTCATAGTAACTGAATACAAATAAATTAATTGAGGAATAATGTTTTTAATCTTAGATTTTTTAGATATAATGCATAAACTGGTAAAGGCAAGATATAAAATTATATAATCATAAAATAATTAAAGCCTTCATATTTGTATTAAATAGTTGAACTAAGGATTTTCCAAACATAATTCATGTTCATTGATTACTACAATTCAGTTTTGTGGTGAAACAGATTTCTGAAGTATTCAGTTCTACCTAGAGAACATTTGAAATGAAATAAAATATGACTAAGGTTGCATTATTAAGTGAATATTAATTTATATAAATACTGATGAATTTTAAGAAAGCTTGACATTACCTTTTAATAAATATGTATTTAAATATTCAGTTGAAATAGTAGTAATTGGATTCTTAGGTATTTGAGTTTTATTTACATTGTTTAAAAAGAAGGGAGGCATAAAAATTTGAAATCTTTTGTTATTCATATTTTTAAAATGCTTTCTGTTATGTGGTGCTTTTGCTTTTTACAGAATTAAAAAATAATATGGAAAAGCCATTCCATGATTGTATTTCAAGATGTATTACTTTTGAATATTTTGGTTTGTTTTCTTCAGCTTTGTTCTATAAAGCATCATTTTTCTTCATGGGATGTGTTTGTGTTTAGTTTGTGATAAAAATTTTTATCTAAATAAAATTTCAATCCTTTACAAAAGTGTAATAATAAAGCGATAATCTGCAGCCTTTACTTAGTTAGCTTCAGCAATTATCAGCTTAAATCCAATGTTGTTTCCACTGTATTCCTCCTCCTAACATCCTAAATCTAAGATTATTGTAAAGCCATATCGTAGTTCTTTTTTTTTTTTTTTGGGACAGGCAGAGTGGACAGTGAGAGAGACAAAGAGAAAGGTCTTCCTTTTGCTGTTGGTTCACCCTCCAATGGCCGCTGCGGCCGGCGCACTGTGCTGATCCGATGGCAGGAGCCAGGTACTTATCCTGGTCTCCCATGGGGTGCAGGGCCCAAGGACCTGGGCCATCCTCCACTGTACTCCCTGGCCACAGCAGAGAGCTGGCCTGGAAGAGGGGCAACCGGGACAGAATCCGGCGCCCCGACTGGGACTAGAACCCGGTGTGCCAGCGCCGCAAGGTGGAGGATTAGCCTAGTGAGCTGCGGCGCCGGCCCATATCGTAGTTCTTTTGAATATTCTAATTTCTACTTTCTAAAGATAGGGATTATTTTTTGATTTTTAAATATAGCTCTTAATATTATTAGCATACTTAAACACTTCTCCCACTTGTTGAGTTTTGGTGGTTTTAGACCCACATAAGGTGCACACTTTGTGATTGTCTTGATGTTCTCTTAATCTGTGTTAATTTACAGTCCCTATTTTCACTTCCCTGTATCTTTTACTGAGGAAACCAGGTCACTGGGCCTGTTGAGTCCCACAGCCTGAACTGGCTGATTGAGTCCTACCATATTGTTTATCATGTTCTGTTCCTCATAGTTCTTGTCCATTGGTGTTCTATTTAGAATTGTCCATACTTATTTTGAATTTCTGGATGGAGAAGAAAATTTTGAATTTAAAATGTTGTCTCCTCCTGTGTTTCTGGGCTGTGATGATGGCAATACCAGTGTGATGACCTGGGTCCTGTCCTTTCATTAGTAAATAATACTATTATCATTTATGTCATAGAGCCATTATTAGCATTTATTATGGAGAATGTTTGCTTTTAAAGTTCTGGTTCATTTGGGGAGAATTTGTATTTTAAACTTTTGTGTGACTTAAACAAAATGGGCAAATATCAGTCTATTTTTATGGTCTCATAAGTACTACAGTATTTTAAAGTATAAGTTACTTATTTGACTTAAGATGTATTGCCATTCAAAACACTGTCCTTGGGGAGAGGGGAAATTAAGTTTAGAAGAATTTGTTACACTTTTTTTTAATGCCAAAACAAGCAGGAGGAGCACAGGAAAATACTGATCTTTTAAAAGACTGATTTAGCACTTTTATGCCATATAAACTACTATAATTATTCACAGGCTGGCATGGACTTTCAGGATTACTTACACTGGTAACTATTGACATGAAATCTTATTTTGTTAATTATCAGAAAAAGGAAATAGTGCATTCTCTTCCTCAGCGTGCAATTAGGGAACACTGAAAATCGCTTAAGTGTACTTGAATTTCTCCAATTTCACTGAACATTATGTTCTTTGATCTTTGAATTTGGGTTTTTATCAGCATAAATTACTTAGGTATGTGATTCAGGTTATAGATTGGGTTTCCTTTCTTACTTTAAAGTAATTTGAAAGTGAATTTTTTTTCCTTTGAATTAGCTTGTCACCCTACATCTCTTTTTAGATTGGTGGGAATTTGAAAACACATATATGTCTGTATACTTTTGGGGTGCCATATATTTAGCTGCAATAAAACATTTCTTCCATCTAAAGAGGAATGCGATAAAAATGGATGCAGGATTGAAGTAGGTTTTTTATGAAAAGAAAATAGGATATATTAGAATAAAATTTGCTTTACTTGTGTGTTTCCTCTGAACTTTCGTTACTGATCATTGGTAACTGTTTTGTTCTGTCCCCTCAATGGTCATAGACTTAGTTCCTAAATATCACAGAATATTGGAACTAGAAAGAACTGTAAGGATTCCCCTGGGAAAATGAGTGCCATGGGGGAGCACCATCTTCCCAGCTCTGTACAGCCCCCCCCACCATCCCTGCCCTGCTGGAGATGTGGGCTTGGGGACAGCCTGTGAAATGAAAACATCACATCACCCTCTCTCCATGTCTCCCCAGGGCACTGGCAATAAGTCTTCCTTTTTAGAAATGTTATTTTCTTTTCTTTTTTTTTTTTTAAGATTTATTTATTTATTTGAAAGTCAGAGTTACACAGAGAGAAGGAGAGGCAGACAGAGGTCCCGCATCTGCTGGTTCACTCCACAGCTGGCCACAATGGCTGGAACTGTGTCGATTTGAAATTAGGAGCCAGGAGCTTCCCCCGGGCCTCCTACCTGAGTGCAGGGGCCCAGGGACTGGAGCCATCCTCCACTGCTCTCCCAGGCCACAGCAGAGAGCCAGACAGAAAGTGGAGCAGCCAAGACTTGAACCAGAGCCCATGTGGATGCCAGCACTGCAGGTGGTGGCTTCACCCACTGCACCCCAGTGCTGGCCCCTAGAAATGTTATTTTCATGTGACCTTGCCTTTTAGCCTCCAGGAAGGCATGACAAGACAACAGGAGAGTTAGCCTATTGCTAAATAGAAAGGCTTTAAATGGGTGAGGTTGCAACATCAGATGCCTTTGATTCCATTCCAGTATGTGAGGCTGTGCAGAAATCAGCAACAAATAATGCTATGAAAAGGAGAGTGTTAAATTAGTGAATTAGAACAAACCTGGGCTGGGACCTTTTCCCAGCTATCTCTGATTATACTGTAAACATTTTTATTAGAGATGATCTCTTTTCTGTTTATAAATTGGGGTAAGAATAGTTTCAGAAGTCTCCATAAGATAATATTGACAAGTTGACACGATGCTGTCAGTTTCTTGGAGTGGTGTCAAAGTTAGCAGGCTTGCCGTTACTTGATTAAATTTGGGAAGCGCTGGGGCTATCGGTTAGACTGGACAGTTCTGAACTTCAGCCCCAGGAGGCTGATGATCTGCAGAAGGAAACACAAACACCACTGTCCTGGCTGCAGCGTGGATGGTGGCAGATGGTGTTGGTTATCAGAAGCATCCACTTACTGTCTGCAGAGGCTCATGGTGAGGAAGACTGGGTCAGACTCACAGCGGGGTTCTGGAGAAAACATTGTCAGGGAGAAGGGATTTGAGCTGGACCAAGAAGGACGAAAGGAACTGATGACTTAGATGAGATATTCCTGGTCAAGGATAGCACTTGGGTATGTTTGGGGAATGGCAGCCAGTTTATGCCTTAGATCTTCTAAGCTGTAGTTGCCCCCTTTGCAAAGGGGGTCAATAATAATACTTACCTCATCAGGAAGTTGTGAAGAGTTTTAGGAACAGAAACCAATTTGCAAAAGCTGACAAGATAGAGGCAGTGAATGAAGTTAAAAGCGAATCATTGCTTGAGAGGGAGTGGACTTCCAGGAAGGGTTCCCAGCACGCACAGCAGAAGGAAGGAGGAAGGAGGCCACTGCAGAGGGAGGCAGTGGAGTTATCAGAGACTGGGTTTTGATGGCACCAGGTCTCTTAGGATGGGCTCTAAACTCTAATCTGTCTTAGTCTGGAGGAAAGAAAGCAAGAAAAGGAACATTTGCCAGCAGGGTGATGGCATCGCCTTTATGTTTTCCAAGTAGTCACTGAGTTGGTGAAAGGCTCTAAGTAGGAAGCAAATGAATACTGTTAAAGCTACTGTGGCGTGTGAATTAAGGGTGGGAGGGAGACCCAGGTGACTCAGCCGGAGGAACTCTGGGGTTCAGAAGTAAAGCACAGGGGTCGGAGCTGTGGCGAAGCGAGTAAAGCTGCCGCCTGCAGTGTTGGCATCCCATATAGGCGCCGGTTCAAGTCCCAGCTGCTTCACTCCCAATCCAGCTCTATGCTATGGCCCGGGAAAGCAGTAGAAGACGGCTCAAGTGCTTGGGCCCCTGTGCCCGTGTG